GCTCGGCAGTCCTGGCTCCTTCCTGGCTCCAATGACCTGCTGCTGGAGGTCGGGCCCAGGTAAGTATCTTATCCTGCCCACCTCTTTCTCCTGCCTTCTTCTGCTTCCTCTTGTGATCCTTGGGAGATTTGTTTTTCCTTTGCTCTTTGCTACTCCCTGCCTAGGAAACCATACAGGTGCTTTCCCCATTTAGGTAGATGCCTCTGAAAACCTAGCCTCCTCTAAAACATGTTCTTGAAGCAAAATAAATTGGATTCCAAGTTAAATTCAAACAGTTTTGATGCTAGAGGACAGCTATGGTTTGGCTTGAGTGAACTTTGAAAGCAGGTTTCTTTTGCCCAGCCTGAGGCTGAAAGCCGATGGCGAGGTGATAGTGGTGACAGGTTGTCCGGACAACAGTGGGCAGGATCCACCCTCCCACTGAGGCCTGCCGGGAGCTCTCCAGTCCTAACCATCAGGCCCATTGCTCAGGCTGAACTTCTCCACCCCAACATCTACCAACATCGTGTCAGTGTGCCATGCCGCTGGGCTGGGGCCTGTGGATCGTGTGGAGACCACCCGGCGCTATCGGCTCTCGGTGAGGAGATGGGGAATCAGGAGGAGGAGATGGGACAGAGATACAAGATTAGATCCGAAGCTTTAGAGCGAAGCAGGGACAGGTGCTCCTGGCTTTAGGCCTGCTTTGTATGGTTGTGCAGGTTGGGCAGAAATCCAGCCTATGCGTCTCTTACCTGGCATGGTTTCATACCTGGAAAGGGTGTTTTTTCTTAATCTGAACAAAAGTGTCATATGGGGTGGCAGTGGGCTGGCCTTGCACGATTAAGAGGATAGGAGGGTAGGAGGGTGGGCCATTTCTCTCCATTTTTTTTTTTTTTTTTTTAGAAATGGGATTTCACCATGTTGGCCAGGTTGGTTTTGAACTCCTGACCTCAAATCATTCGTCCACCTCGGCCTCCCAAAGTGCTAGGATTACAGGCATGAGCCACCATACCTGACCCGTTTCTCTCCATTCTTAAAGTCTTCACCCTTTGCCCTCTGTGTATCTGCACCCCTAGTTTGCCCACCCCCCTTCGGCTGAGATGGAAGCGATTGCTCTGGCTACCCTGCATGACCGGATGACAGAGCAGCACTTCCCCCATCCCATCCAGAGTTTCTCTCCTGAGAGCATCCCAGCACCCCTCAATGGCCCTATCAATATACTGGGCGAAGGCCGGCTTGCACTGGAGAAGGCCAACCAGGAGCTAGGTGAGTAGTTGGAGAGGGAGGTGTAGGGCCCAGGATAGGCCAGGCCAGGAGGGGTGCTGAGATCTGGAATGTGGCTGCCTGACCTCCACAGTCACCTCTTCATGGATTCGTCTCCTAGGTCTGGCTTTAGACTCTTGGGACCTAGACTTCTACACCAGGCGCTTCCAGGAGCTACAGCGGAACCCAAGCACTGTGGAGGCCTTTGACTTGGCGCAGTCCAATAGGTGGGGCGGAATGGGATTGTTCTGATATCTGAGCTCATGGATGTTGGAAGGGACTACAGGGACTCGCCTTCATGGCTCTCCTTGGCTTACGGACCTCCCTGAGTCTCTGAGGGCGTGGGCTCCCCTTATCCATCAAGCAGTCTACATTCAAATCTTGGTTTTATCTTCACTTTGGCTCCGTACAATCCCAAATGACAGAATACTTGAAGATTACGGCTTTTTGGAATATATTTTGATCGATTATTTAAGTATGAATTCGCCTCTGCTGTTAATGCTGGTAAGAAGACATAGCATTAAGAAATGACCCCATTTCCATCCTGCCTTCCCCTCCCTGCATCACCTGCAGTGAGCACAGCCGACACTGGTTCTTCAAGGGCCAGCTCCACGTGGATGGGCAGAAGCTGGTGCACTCCCTGTTTGAGTCCATCATGAGCACCCAGGCATCCTCGAACCCCAACAACGTCCTCAAATTCTGTGACAACAGCAGGTGGGCTGTGCCCTAGACAGGGGCGGCATTAGGACCGAGGGAGGGGAGGCCCCAGGCCCTGGTTGGGTTAATGCAGGTCCCAGAAAGGAAGCAGGGTCCAGGACGGATATGTCCACAGTGCAATCCAGGGAAAGCAAGTCCGATTCCTACGGCCTGAGGACCCCACACAGCCAAGCCGCTTCCGGCAACAGCAGGGGCTGAGACATGTTGTCTTTACAGCAGAGACTCACAACTTTCCCACAGGTGAGCTGGGTTCCCTGGAGAAATAGGCGGGATCACAGAATAGGGTAGGAAAAAGGTCCCAGGCCCCTTGGGCCTGGGGAAAATAATCAGTAAAGCTAGTTGCCCTTATTTTCAGTGGAGGTGGTCAGAGATGGGGTTTGTCTCTGAGGCACCCAGACCTCTCCCCGCTCTCTCTTTGCAGGAGTATGCCCCTTTAGTGGTGCGACCACTGGCACAGGGGGCCGGATTCGAGATGTCCAGTGCACAGGCCGTGGGGCCCACGTGGTGGCTGGCACTGCCGGCTATTGCTTTGGAAATCTCCATATCCCAGGTTCCATCTCCTTCCTCTCTACCTACTTTCCCATCCAGATTCCTTGTCCTGTCAGGCACCAAACTTTTATCTGTTAGTCATAGGGTCAACCTGGGTGCCTTTTCTTGGGAGGGAGAGCTGTAGGATAGCAGGCCTTTCAACTATGGTCATAAGTATAGACCTGGGGAGATGAACTGACCCGACTGGCTTTGCAGGTCCATGATTTTCCTTAGAAACTAGCATTCATGGCCAGGTGCAGTGGCTCACACCTGTAAACCTGGCACTTTGGGAGGCCGAGGCAGGTGGATCACGAGGTCAGGAGTTCAAGACCAACCTGGCCAACATGGTGAAACCCCATCTCTACTAAAAATATAAAAATTAGCTGGGCATGGTGGTGCACACCTGTAATCCCAGCCACTCAGCATAATCCCAGCTATTTGGGAGGTTGAGGCAGGAGAATCAGTTGAATCTGGGAGTCTGTGGCTGCAGTGAGCTTAGATTGCACCATTGCACTCCAGCCAGGGCAATAGAGTGAGACTCCATCTCAAAAAAGAAAGAAAAGAAAAAGGAAACTAGCAATCATTTATCCAGAAAGCATGATACTGGGTTGGTCTTATGATCGCCACCTGCGCCTCAAATCTGGTTTCTTAGAAAGCCTGAGAAACTCTGATCCTGAGATTCAGAGGGAAGGCTGGTGTGGGTGGTGGAGAGCAAGACTGGCACTTCACTGCAGGCTCTATGGCTTCCTAAAACGGGACTTCCTAAATGGAACATTCCAACCATGCAGGTGGCTCTTGGTGGCCTTGACTCTTCCTGAAGGATGCGGCTGCTGCATCCTCTGTCTTCACAGTTCATTCAATTCATCCAGTTCTCTCTCTTTCTCTCCCAGGTTACAATCTACCCTGGGAGGATCTGAGCTTCCAGTATCCTGGGAACTTTGCCCGGCCCCTGGAGGTTGCCATTGAAGCCAGTAATGGAGCTTCTGACTATGGCAACAAGTTTGGGGAACCAGTGCTGGCTGGTGAGGCTCAGGGTGTGGAGGGATAATAACACCCAGAGGGGCTTGTGGGTGGGGTGTGCGACCCAGGGGCTGTGGTATTGGGCGACCACTGTGGGGACTGAGTGACCGTCTGGCCCCCTTTGATGTTCACACTCCAGGCTTCGCCCGCTCCTTGGGCCTCCAGCTCCCAGACGGCCAGCGGCGTGAGTGGATCAAGCCCATCATGTTTAGCGGGGGCATTGGGACCATGGAAGCTGAGCACGTGAGCAAGGAGCCCCCAGAGCCAGGTAAGAGCCTGCCACCTTTCTCTGGATCCAGCCAGCTTTCTCCCTAGCACAGGATGGCTGCAGGGAAGGAATTTAGCAGACACTTGAATGGTTAGTTTTTAATGTGTTGGCTTACGTTATGCATCACATAATGATGAAAAACTCATTCTGAGAAATGTGGTTATTAGGTGATTTTATTATTGTGCCCACTTCATAGAGTGTGCATGCACAAACCTAGATGGCATAGCCTACTATACAAATACTCCACACGGCCTCTTACTGGCAACACTATTCAGGAATTTTGTACACTTAGGAGCCATGATGAACAAAACATGAGAATAAATCAAGCACAATAGAAAATAATGCAATCAAGACATGGTAGGCCGAGTAGGGTGGCTCATGCCTGTAATCCCAGCACTTTGGGAGACTGAGGCAGGTGGATCACCTGAGATCAGGAGTTCAAGACCAGCCTGGCCAACATGGTGAAACCCAGTCTCTACTAAAAATACAGAAATTAGCTGGGTGTCATGGTGTGCACCTGTAGTCCCAGCCCCTCAGGAGGCTGAGGCAAAAGAATCATTTGAACCCGGGAGGCGGAGGTTGCAGTGAGTAGAGATTGCACCACTGTACTCCAGACTGGACAACAGAGCAAGACCCTGTCAAAAAAAAAAAAAAAAGACATGGCAAATATGAGATATATAAAGCTGCTGTCAATGTAACATGACATACTGTTTTTAAATAAAACTTTTGAAATCTTTTTTGTTAATTATTATTTTTAATCTGCATTTTCTTTCTCAAGTGAGATTTTTTTTTCTCTTTTTAGAACAGGGTCTTGCCGTGTCACCCAGGCTGGAAAACAATGGTTCTTTTTATTTTTATTTTTATTTTTTTAGAGACACGGTTTCACCATGCTGGTCAGGCTGGTCTCGAACTCCTGACCTTGTGATCTGCCCACCTCGGCCTCCCAAAGTGCTGGGATTACAAGTGTGAGCTGCCACTCCCAGCCTCGAGAACAGTGGTTCTATCCTAGCTTACTGCAGCCTTGAGCTCCTGGGCTCAAGCAGTCCTCCTGCCCCAGCCTCTGAAAGCACTGGGATTACAGGTGTGAGCCATGGTGCCCAGCCAAAATAAACTTGTTTTATATAAGTAGAATGAGTACATTCTGCAGCAACAGTAAAAAGTATGGTTGGTCCGCCCGCCTCGGCCTCCCAAGTGCTGGGATTACAGGTGTGAGCCACCGCACCTGGCCCAATAAGTAAATTTTAAAAAAATATATAGTAAATATATGAACTAGCCATAGTCACTTCTTGTCATTATGAAGTATTATGTAGTGTACATACAATAATGATATGCAGTATACTGTTGTATGAGTGGCAGCGCAGGAGGTTTATTTATAATAGCTTCACCACCAGCATGGCTACAATGTCACTAGGCAATAGGAATTTTTGAGCACCATTTTAATCTTAAGAGATTATATATGGTCCATTGTTAAGCAAAATGTCATTAATCAGCCCATGACCATAAGGGAGTCATACAATATGTGGCCTTTTGTGTCAGCCTTCTTCCGCCTCAGCCTTCTGAGTAGCTGGGACTACAGGCACACACCATCGCGCCAAGCTAATTTTTGTATTTTTAGTAGAGTTGGGGTTTCACCATGTCGGCCGGGTTGGTCATGACCTCCCCGGCCTATTTTTTCTTTTGCTACTTTTTGTTTTGATGTTGTAACGACAAAATGATAAATGAGCCTATGGATAAGTTTGCATGTGGTGTGAATTAAGGGGTCTCAATTTATTCTTTCACATGTAGGTATCCCACTGTTCTAATGCCACCTTTTGAAAAGACTATTCTTGGCTGGGCATGGTGGCTCAAGCCTGTAATCCTAGCACTTTGGGAGGCCAAGGTGGGTGGATCACCTGAGGTCAGGAGTTTGAGACCAGCCTGGCCAACATGGTAAAACCCCATCTTTAAAAAAATAAAAATGAAAAAAAAAGGTTATTCTTTCTCTATTGAAGATCATGACACTGTACTCCAGCCTGTCTCAGAAAAAAAAAGACTCTATACATTTGTCATTTTGGTTGATGTTGCCAAATCATCCTCTGTAGTTTATACCAGTTTACTCTCCTTTCAACCCAGTCAAGTGGTAATGTTCCTCCCCTGATGTCAGCCTCCTTTGTCCTCACACTGCCTTGCTTTCAAGGCCTGTTCTGGTAGCTTCCCTGATGTTCTGATTCTGCCTTCTCTTCTCTCACAGGTATGGAAGTTGTAAAGGTTGGGGGTCCTGTCTATAGGATCGGAGTTGGAGGTGGAGCTGCTTCATCTGTGCAGGTGAGTGGAAATTGCTAATGGTGCAGAATCCATGGTATAACTGGGCCCCAGACATAGGGGAGCGTACCACAGATTCCAGCCTCACTGAGCTGAGCTATGCCATATATTCCCCCAGGTGCAGGGAGATAACACCAGTGACCTGGACTTTGGGGCTGTGCAGCGGGGCGACCCGGAGATGGAACAGAAGATGAACCGTGTGATCAGGGCTTGTGTGGAGGCCCCCGACGGAAACCCCATCTGCAGCCTCCATGACCAGGGCGCTGGTGGGAATGGTGAGGAATGGAGTTGGAACAAGGGACTGGGCCTGCCTGGTTTGGTTCAGGGAAAGGCATCAGGAATCTCCAACCAACCACCCAGTTCTGGGTCCTGTTGTCCATCCTGTGTACATTCTAGACAGGATCAGGGTTGGAAGGGTGGAAGCCTGCTGCCATGGGATGATTGGTGGTGAGGATGCGGCAGCAGTTCACACAGGAACACACACAATTAGGGGCTCCTATGGAGGCCAGGGACTGCCCTTTGTTGCCTGGTCACCACTACTAGGTCACTACTTCTCCTTGCAATCCTCTCACCAGGCAACGTCCTAAAAGAGCTGAGTGACCCAGCTGGAGCCATCATTTACACCAGCTGCTTCCAGGTGGGTCTCATCCTCTGAAGCCTGGCATTTCCCCACCCCTGCCAGCCCCAGCTAGCCTCCAGCAATCTCTCTTGCAACAAGATGAGACTTGGGAGTGCCTACTGACCCTTCTCTTTCCTCCCTGCCATGGCTGTGCAGCTAGGGGACCCGACCCTGAATGCCCTGGAAATCTGGGGGGCTGAGTACCAGGAATCAAATGCACTTCTGCTGAGGCCCCCCCACCGGAACTTCCTGACTCATGTCAGTGCCCGGGAGCGTTGCCCCGCTTGCTTCGTGGGCACCATCACTGGAGACCGGAGAGTGAGTTGGCCCAGGGAGTTGAGGGCAGACACTGAGGGCAGACTTGAACCACCTGGTGTGGGCTAGAGGGAGAGTCAGGGGAGAGAGACAAGAGGAAGTTGGGAGGTGGTGGCAAACAAGGTGTGGGGAACACAGGAGCCAAGGAGGGGCAGAGATTCTAGAACATTCCCTGCTGGTGCTCATAGTTTTATCCCCTCTGGGTGGGGTCCCCGTGGTCTATAGATAGTGCTGATAGACGATCGAGAGTATCCTATGGGAAGAAATGGCCAGGGGGATGCCCCCCCAACATCCCCACCAACCCCTGTGGACCTGGAGCTGGAATGGGTTCTGGGCAAGATGCCTCGGAAGGTATGTGGGGTTCGGGGATGGGTTTCCCTGTGGCCTTCCTCTCCACACCACCGTTTACCCTACATGCACTTTGTCATCTGTGTGCCCAGCCCGCCCCAGGTGCTGACTCTCCCTGTCATTGCCTATGTTGTAGGAGTTCTTCCTCCAGAGGAGTCCCCCTATGCTGCAGCCTCTGGCCTTGCCCGTAGGGCTGAGCGTGCGCCAGGCTCTGGAGAGGGTTCTGAGGCTGCCCGCCGTGGCCAGCAAGCGCTACCTCACCAATAAGGTCCTCCCTGCACCCCTGCTCTGCCCCTTGCATGCTTCCTCCGCTCACCCTCCCCTGCCCTCCTGCCCTTAGAAACTGCTCTGGGGGTTTTTGCCTGGCGCTGGGGGGAAGTAACAGGGGCAGGCAGCTACCCTGACAGCCTGGTCTCCCTGCTGCCCACCCTCTGAATGGAGCTCTTACCTGCATTGAGGAAAAGCCAGACCTCCCATTGCCCTGGGTCCCTCAGGGGCAGGTGCAGGAGCACAGACTCTCCCTGTCCCTTGCACTCTTGCCAACCCCACTGGTTTCCACAGGTGGACCGCTCCGTGGGCGGCCTGGTGGCCCAGCAGCAGTGTGTGGGGCCCCTGCAGACTCCTCTGGCAGATGTAGCTGTTGTAGCACTGAGCCATGAGGAGCTCGTAGGGGCTGCCACAGCCTTGGGAGAGCAGCCAGTCAAGAGCCTGCTGGACCCCAAGGTCGCTGCCCGGCTGGCCGTGGCCGAAGCCCTCACCAACCTGGTATTTGCTCTGGTCACCGACCTCCGGGTGAGTTCTCCCACGGCTTCTCCCCTGGAGCCCCTGGGGTTTCAGGACACTTCCATGTCCCTCTGTCACCCTGCATTTCACATTTGCAAGCTTCTAGTCCCACTGCATCCCTGGCCTCTTCACATCTCTCTTCCCCTCTAATGGCATGCCTCTCCCACCCCCAGGATGTTAAATGTAGCGGGAACTGGATGTGGGCAGCCAAGCTTCCAGGGGAGGGTGCAGCTTTGGCAGATGCCTGCGAAGCTATGGTGGCAGTGATGGCAGCCCTAGGTGTGGCAGTGGACGGCGGCAAGGACTCCCTCAGCATGGCTGCTCGGGTTGGCACAGAGACTGTGCGGGCTCCTGGTGAGGTGTAGGGGCCCCAGGGAGGGGAGGAGGAACTACAGGGCTGGGCTGGCAACTCATTCTTTCAGACTCCTTGCTCTGCAGGGTCACTGGTCATCTCAGCCTATGCCGTCTGTCCAGACATTACAGCCACCGTGACCCCAGACCTCAAGCATCCTGAAGGGAGAGGTATGGGTGTGGTCCCATCCCACTGGCTTGTGTTTTCTTTGCTTGGCCCCTGCTTTGTGAGTGCTGGGCCCCCACCATCTCAACACTGAGCTGTGATGTTTTCTGGGACTGATTGTGTGTCTCACCACATGCTGGGAACAGCAGTGCTGTGAACACCTCAGGGACGGGTCATCCTGAGCCATCCCCCTCTCCTTACCCCTCTCCGTCTCCCCAGGCCATCTGCTCTACGTGCCTCTGAGCCCTGGGCGGCACCGGCTGGGGGGCACAGCTCTGGCCCAATGCTTCTCCCAGCTCGGAGAGCACCCTCCTGACCTGGACCTTCCCGAGAACTTGGTGCATGCCTTCAGCATCACCCAGGGGCTGCTGAAAGGTGAGTGAGGCCCCCGGGGGAGATGGCACATGGGGTGCCAGGCATGCCGTGGGTAGGGCACGAGGGACTCCGATGGAGGATGTACCCTGGTTCCCCCGACATGCTCACACACACTCTTGATGGACTGACTCTAGAAGGTGGGGCGGGGCTGTCAGGTTTGGGCCCTGAGGTTGCTGAGCTTTCTTCTTCCTCCAGACCGCCTTCTCTGCTCAGGCCATGATGTCAGTGATGGAGGCCTCATCACATGCCTGCTGGAGATGGCCTTTGCTGGAAATTGTGGGCTATGGGTGGACGTGTCTGTCCCTGGGGTTGATGGTAAGGAACCTGGGGTCTAGTCTCAGGCCTGGGCTGCCTTCTCCACCCTGCAGACCCCATCTCCAATATATTAAAGAGTGGAGTGTCCTCCAACCCCCTTTCCCTGAGTCTTCCCCGACTAGCTCTTCTGTGCTGTCTCTCTGACAGCTGAACTGGATGGAACTGGCTGGCACCCACCATGTTCCTGACTGCACCCCTCTGAGTCCTCCCATCCCTGAGATGTTCATGATGAAACATCCTCAGTCCCTCCCTCCCAGCCCTCACCCTCCCTGGCCCCCACCCCGACTCCCTCGGTCCCTCCTGCATCCTCCTGACCCCCACCCTGACTTCCTTGGCCCTTCCTGCACCCCCCGACCCCTGCCCCGACTCCCTCGGCCCCTCCTGCATCCTCCTGACCCCCACCCTGACTTTCTTGGCCCTTCCTGCACCCCCCAACCCCCACCCTGACTCCCTCGACCCCTTCTGCATCGTCCTGACCCCCACTCTGACTTCCTTGGCCCTTCCTGCACCCCCCGATCCCCACCCCAACTCCCTTGGCCCCTCCTGCATCCCCCTGATCCCCCCATTGCTCTCCCAGTGCTGTCTGTGCTGTTTGCTGAGGAGCCAGGCCTGGTGCTGGAGGTGCAGCAGCCGGACCTGGCCCAAGTGCTGAAGCGTTACCGGGACGCTGGCCTCCACTGCCTGGAGCTGGGCCACACAGGCCAGGCTGGGCCCCACGCCATGGTGAGTAAGTGAGAGAGAGAGCGGTGTGCAGTGGACAGTCAGAGTGAGGCAGCTGTGGTCCCTCCCCCTCCCACTGTGGAGGGGGCCATCCCTTTTCTTAGCCCTTGGGAGACTTGTTCCTTTCCCTAGGTTCGGGTGTCAGTGAACGGGGCTGTGGTTCTGGAGGAGCCTGTTGGGGACCTTCGAGCCCTCTGGGAGGAGACAAGTTTCCAGCTGGATCGGCTGCAGGCAGAGCCTCACTGTGTGACGGAGGAGGAACGGGGCCTGAGGAAGCGGATGGGGCCCAGCTATTGCCTGCCCCCCACCTTTCCCAAAGCCTCTGTGCCCCATGAGCCTGGTGAGCGAGTGTGTGCAGAGGCTCCACGTCCTGGGTGCATTCAGCCTGGATGCCTGGGCCTGCCCTGGAAAAGGGGTCTGGGGAGTAGGGGTGGGGAAATACCTTTCTGGCCCAAAGACACTTATTTTCCCCCAAGGTGGTCCCAGCCCCCGTGTCGCCATCTTGCGAGAGGAGGGCAGTAATGGAGACCGGGAGATGGCCGATGCCTTCCACTTGGCTGGGTTTGAGGTGAGCAGGGTAGGGGGCAGGTGGGGGTGGTGATCCAGTTTCAGCTGCATGTCCTCCCACACTTCCCGTCCCCATCTTCGCAGGTGTGGGATGTGACCATGCAGGACCTATGCTCTGGGGCAATTGGGCTGGACACCTTCCAAGGCGTGGCCTTCGTGGGTGGTTTCAGCTACGCAGACGTCCTGGGCTCTGCCAAAGGTCAGTGTGCAGGCATCTGCCCGCTCCCTTCCCCCACATTCCCAAAGAGATGCCTTTAGCCCCCTCTTTCTGGGCTGGGGATTGGCCTATCACTTCACCAAGCTAGGAGAGAGTGGGCATGTTCATTCTGGGTCACATGCCAACAGAAGGCTGTTAATAAATTTTTTCATTTTAAAAAAAAATTATATATTATATATATACATATATATATATATTATATATATACATACATGTATATATAATATATATATTATATATCTCTCTATATATATGTGTGTGTGTGTGTGTGTATATATATGAGAGAGAGAGAGAGAGAGAGAGAGAGTGAGTGAGAGAGAGTGTTTCACTCTTGTTGCCGAGGCTGGAGTGCAATGGTGTGATCTCAGCTCACTGTAACCTCTGCCTCCTGAGTTCAAGCAATTTTCCTGCCTCAGCCTCCTGAATAGCTGGGATTGCAGGCATGCGCCACTGCACCTGGTTAATTTTGTATTTTTAGTACAGATGGGTTTTCTTCAGGTTGGTCAGGCTGGTCTCAAACTCCCCACCTCAGGTGATCCGCCCACCTTGCCCTCCTAAAGTGCTGGGATTACAGATGTGAGCCACCTCAATTTTCTCGATTTTGGCCAGGCGCAGTGGCTCACGTCTGTAATCCCAGCACTTTAGGAGGCCAAGGCAGGAGTATTGCTTGAGGTAAGGAGTTCGAGACCATCCTGGCCAACATGGCAAAACCTTGTCTCTACTAAAAATACAAAATTAGCCGGGTGTGGTGGTTCGCACCTGTAATCCCAGCTACTCAGGAGGCTGAGGCATGAGAATCACTTGAACTCAAGAGACAGAGGTTGCAGTGAGCTGAGATTGTGCCACTGCACTCCAGCCTGGGAAACAGAGCAAAACTGTGTTTCATATATATGTGTTTAAATTTTGGGGGCTGGACGTGGTGGCTCATGCCTATAATCCCAGCGCTTTGGGAGGCCAAGGTGAGTGGATCACTTGAGGTCAGGAGTTTGAGACCAGCTGGGCCAACATGGTGAGACCCCGTCTCTACTAAAAATACAAAAATTACCTGGGCCTGGTGGCGGGTGCCTATAATTCCAGCTACTTGGGAGGCTGAGGCAGGAGAGTCACTTGAACCCTGGAGGCAGAGGTTGCAGTGAGCCGAGATCCTGCTGCTTCACTCCAGCCTGGGCAAAAGAGTGAAATTCTGTATCGAGAAAAAAAAAAAAAAAGGAAAGGAGGGAAGGAGAGAAAAGGAAGAAAGAAAAAGGAAAGTAAACAGAAGAGCAGTTGTGTCCCTTCATCCCCAATTCCCTTTTCTGAGGTCTTCATGTCTCACCCTGACTTCCCTATTCCCTACTAGGGTGGGCAGCTGCTGTAACCTTTCATCCTCGGGCTGGGGCTGAGCTAAGGCGCTTCCAGAAGCGGCCAGACACCTTCAGCCTGGGCGTGTGTAATGGCTGTCAACTGCTGGCTCTGCTGGGCTGGGTGGGAGGCGACCCCAGTGAGAATGCCACGGAGATGGGCCCTGACTCCCAGCCAGCCCGGCCAGGCCTTCTGCTACGCCACAACCTGTCTGGGCGCTTTGAGTCTCGCTGGGCCAGCGTGCGTGTGGGGCCTGGACCAGCTCTGATGCTTCGAGGGATGGAGGGTGCCGTGCTGCCCGTGTGGAGCGCCCATGGGGAAGGTCAGGCCAGAGGAAGGCTGGGGGAGGGCCTGAGGGTTGGGGCTGAGGGTGGACGTGAAGGACCTTGGCTCTCACCTCCCTCCTTTTTCTGTCCCAGGTTACATGGCATTTTCTTCTCCAGAACTCCAAGCTCAGATTGAGGCCAGGGGCCTGGCCCCACTGCACTGGGCAGATGATGACGGGAACCCCACAGTGCAGTACCCCCTGAATCCCAATGGGTCCCCAGGGGGCGTGGCTGGCATCTGTTCCCATGATGGCCGACACCTGGCTCTTATGCCTCACCCTGAGCGGGCCGTGAGGCCTTGGCAGTGGGCATGGCGACCCCCTCCATTTGATACCCTGACCACCTCCCCCTGGCTCCAGCTCTTTATCAATGCCCGAAACTGGACCCGGGAAGGGAGCTGCTGACTGGCCACAGGGGCTCACCTGGGCCTCATGATTTTCCCCTGAGTGTGTGCTGCCCCCTCCCTCATGACCTTCAGGAGCACCCCATGTTGTTTCCAAAAGCATCTTGGACAGACAAGGACCAAAGTGCCAGAATCCCAGCTGACTCGATGGTCTGCTGCCGATGTTCCTTCCGCGGCTGTGTCTGTTTTCAGTTCTGCTCTAACACAGCCTGCCCCTTCTCGGCCCTGGAAACAGCATGTGGCTCAGAGAAAACAGCGACAAGGACAAGTCAGATGCCTGAGGCTGGAACAGGGGCTTCTGTTCCACACTTCACAGCACCCAGTGATCACCCGAGTGCCTCAGTTGCCTCCTTGGCTCTAAGGGATGTTTTACGCTCCCTTTTCTTATCATTGGGGTTTAGGGGATGCAGACAGATTCAGCAATAGTGTGCGGATCAGCTCCTTACCACCTCATTGTTCTCATCTGGACCAAAACTTTCTAGATTTTTCCCTAAGTTCCACACTGTGCTGAATGTAAAGAATTGTTGCTTGTGGAAGTTTCTCAGCATTTCTGGCTGTCTCGGGGCTGGCCTGGTGCTGGCCTCAGAACTTAGCATTCCTGATATTTGCTTCTAAATTAGCAGCCCTTTCTTTCTTTCTTTTTTGAGACAGTCTCACTCTGTTGCCCAGTCTGGAGTACAATGGCACAATCTCAGCTCACTGTAACCTCCACCTCCCGGGTTCAAGTGATTCTCCTCCCTCAGCCTCCCATGTAGCTGGGAGTATAGGCGCACACCACCACACCCAGCTAATTTTTGTATTTTTAGTAGAGACCGGGTTTTACCATGTCGCCCGGGCTGGTCTCAGACTCCTGACCTCAAGTGATCTGCCGGCCTTGGCCTTCCAAAGTGCTGGGATTACAGGCGTGAGCCACTGCACCCGGCCCAGCAGCTCTCCTCTGAGAGAGGTGGTTGGTGCTCTCATCCCTAGATCCTAGACATTTAGTATGCTGGAATTCTACTATTCACTTACTCTATTGACTGTTGTTGATCAGTTATTATCACAAAGCACTGTCACCAGCCCCAGGGAGCTTATGTCTAATAGAATTAAAAATAATAGCTGCGGACGGCTGTGGTGGCTCACGCCTATAATCCCAGCACTTTGGGAAGCCAAGGCAGGTAGATCACCTGAGGTCAGCAGTTCAAGACCAGCCTGACCAACATGGTGAAACCCTGTCTGTACTAAAAATGCAAGAGCTGGGCATGGTCTATAATGCCTATAATCCCAGCTACTCAGGAGGCTAAGGCAGGAGAATCGCTTGAACCTGGGAGGCAGATGTTGCTGTGAGCCAAGATTGTGCCAGTGCACTCTAACCTGGATGACAGAGTGAGACTCTATTTCGAAAAAAGAAAAATAGCTGTGTATAACACTTCCCTCAAGCCAAGCATGTGTGAGGCATATGTATCTGAATTAATTCTCACTAAAATTCACCAAAGTACTTGATAGCTCCTCCCTGCCTTTTTAATAAAGGATGAATTAAGGTTGACTGAATTGCCTGGGGTCACACAGATGAGGGAGGCTGTGCCCATCCATACTAAATCTGCTTCCCAGCATCCTGCAGTCTCACTTCCTGGAGGCAGTGTATCTGGACTTCCTGCTGGCTGCTGGCTGCTGTCTGCTTCCTTTGCTATTCAGTGCTTCCTTTGCTCACAGGACTGGGTATGGAGGTCCCTTCCTCATGAGTGTTCTGTTGTACAGCTTAAGTTGGTTGGCCTCCTAGAATGTTCACATCTTGATGAAAGGAGTTTCCCTGGGAATGGAGACTATAATCTCAGATCCCTGAGAGCATGAGGGCCCAGAGAGCTGGGCGGGGAGGCTGAGCACTTCTGTGTGCTCCTGGCAGAGTAGCCACCCTAAGAAGAAACTGAAAATAATGAAGCAATGTTAAATGATGGGTATGGGAAAAACTATTTCAGGTATTTTTCTCATTGCTTTGCAAACTGAGCTACCCTGAGCACTATGGGACTCCTCAGAATCATTTTTGGCAGTTGAATGTTCTTTCCTGACCCTTGGAAAGGATATGTATGTCTTTAAAATTTAAAGTGTCAAATGTACAATTTTGGGGCTGGTACCAAGGCTTAGATATCAAGTTTATTAAGTGCTTGATGGCAAAATTCAAAGGATGATGTGTGAGGTAACCTCCTGGGTGGCTGTGATGGTAGATTCGTAGATTTTGAAGGGGGAGCAGTTTCTGATTTGGGTCCCAATGCCCAAGTAAGACTCGCCCTCCTCAGGCACTATGAAGACCAAATCCACTGGCTTTTCATTCAGTAGCCATATAACCGTGTCCTTGCTGACCCTAACCCTGCTCCATTCCCACCCACCCACTCCCACGGGCCCTCTGGTGAACCCTCCAGGCTAGCTTTCTGCCCCTCCTTGCCTTCATGGAAAACCAGCTATCCTCAGAGCCACTTCAGCCCCTCCAAGTGGTGCCTTTTATTCTCAAACCTCAACCTCATATATCATCTTCCCCAGGCTAGGGAGTCAGGATCCTTGTACTACTGCCAGACTGTTCACCTAGTTCAAAGAAAGCCTTGGCCATTGTAGGCGTATGCCATTCACTATATCCTTTTCACCCACTTTGTGTTCTGCTGACTTCCCCAGCACTCCCTGTGGGAGAGGCTGCCAGTTGTTCTTCAATAATTGATTCCTCTCTAGAAACTGTTCTGGTGAGGCGCGGTGGCTCCCGCCTGTAATCCCAACACTTTGGGAGGCCAAGGTTGGTGGATCACCCAAGTTTGAGACCAGCCTGGCCAACACAGTGAAACCCCATCTTTGACCAAAAAAATGTAGCTGGGTCTGGTGGTGTGCACCTGTAATCCCAGTTACTCAGGAGGCTGAGGCAGGAGAATCGCTTGAATCCGGGAGGCAGAGGTTGCAGTAAGCCAAGATTGCGCCACTGCAGTCTGGCCTGGGCAACAGAGCAAGACTGTCTCAAAAAAAAAAAAGAAAGAACGTACAATTCTTTCTTTAATTTCCTGTAATCCCAGCACTTTGGGAGGCTGAGGCAACTGAATCATAAGGTCAAGAGATCAAGACCATCCTGGCCAACATGGCGAAACCCCATCTCTACTAAAAATACAAAAATTAGCTGGGCGTGGTGAAGTGCACTTGTAATCCCAGCTACTCGGGAGGCTGGGAAGGCAGCTCTACTTGGAGGCAGGAGAATCGCTTGAAACTGTGAGGCGGAGGTCACAGTGAGCCGAGGTTATACCACTGCACACCAGCCTGGCGACAGAGCAAGACTCCATCTCAAAAAAAAAAAAAAAAAAAAGAATGATCCAGTATTTTAGCTGGGGTTGTGGCTGCTAAACATAAAGATTACATCTCCCAGCTTCCCTCCCAGTTATGATTAAATTGTGGCCAATGGGAGTTAAAATGATGTATACAATTTCCAAGTGTTCTTACAAGAAGGATACATTTTTCTCTTTATCCATTCTGCTTCCTGTTGTCTGGAATGCAGATATTGCAGCTGGAAGTCCAGCAGCCATACTGAAGTAGCTTTGGGAATTGGCACCATACAGAGCAACAAGATAAGAGGAAACGACTTGGGAGGGTGAGGTGGGAGGATCCATTGAGCCCAGGTGGTTGAAGCTGCAGTAAACTGTGATTGTACCACTGCACTCCAGCCTGGGCAACAGAGCAAGACCCTGTCTCAGGAAAAAAAGATAAAAGGAGGCCGAGTGCGGTAGGTAGCTCACGCCTGTAATCCCAGCACTTTAGGAGGCCGAGACAGGTAGATCACAAGGTCAGGCGTTCCAGACCAGCCTGGCCAATATGGTGAAACCCTGTCTCCACGAAAAATACAAAAATTAGCCAGGCATGGCGGTGCATGCCTGTAGTCCCAGCTCCTCGGGAAGCCGCGGCAGAAGAATCACTTAAACCCAGGAGGCAGAGGTTGCAGTGAGCCCAGATTGCACCACTGCACTCCATTGGACAACAGAGTGAGACTCCCTCTCAAAAAAAAAAGATAAAAGGAGACTGGTTTTTCCAGCACTGAGGAGTGCCATGAAGACAAGATAACACTGAATGTCTTGAGTGTAGGAAATGAACTTCTGTGGTTTTTTCGTTTGTTTGTTTCTTGAGATGGAGTCGCACTCTGTCACCCAGGATAGAGTATGGTGGCGCCATCTCGGCTCACTGCAGCCTCCACCTCCTGGGTTCAAGCGATCCTCCCACCTCAGCCTTCTGAGTAGCTGGGACTACAGGCACAAGCCACCACGCCCAGCTAATTTTTGTAATTTTAGCAGAGACAGGGTTTCACCATGTTGGCCAGGCTGGTCTCAAACTCCTGACCCGAAGTGATTTGCCTGTCTCGGCCTCAAACAATGCTCAGATTATAGGCATGAGCCACCACACCCGGCCAAACATGTTCCCTTTCTATGTCATTTGTCCAGTCATTCAAAGTCACAAATTCTTGTTATCAGGTCAAATGAAGGAGATTGGCCCTGTGTAAGTGGAAAGGCAGGGAGAATCAGTAAGTGTCTTTTCTTTCTTAATTTAACATCTGCCTAGCAGCCAACAGGGCCCTTCAGTTGCACAGAAAAAGACACAACACTGAAATAAGCATATGTTACTGTCATCCTCAATTGCTGGAAGGAGCACTACTGGCCGGGGAGGCAGCAGGCAGGGGCTAAGCACAGAGAAGGAGTGTGGGTGAGAGCGTCCAGATGGGATCACCTGGTGGGGGCCACCTGTTTTAGAGAGGTTCCCAGCCAGGGCACCCTGTGCTTTCCAATAAGCCAGCCCACCAATGAGCTTCCCTCTGAACTGTGTCTGGGACACTGCCCAAACCAGAACATAGGTAATGGAGAAAGGCTGGAAAGAAGTGGGGTGGGCATCAGTCAGTGGTGAGCCTGGTGAAGGAATGTCTTCCACGGCAGCCGGGCAGTCAGTATCCTAGGGCCTGGCTCCCAACCCACTCCCAGCACCTGCTGTATGTAAGACCCTGTGGTGGTGGAAACCAAATAAACCTTCTGTCATTGGACACTTGGGGGCAGCAAACAGCAAGACAGTAGAGACCTGAGACCCGCTGCAGTGGGGCCCAGGTCTTGGCATCTTGTGGGGCTTCAGGAAACCTTTCCGTGTGAGCAGCCCACTGAGAGTGCCTGCGACATTGGGCCATCCTCCTGCAAGCAGGAAGGGCTTTGTGCAGCTCCCTCTGCCTGGACAGGCTGGAGGGGCAGCCTGTGACTACAGAATGAGACAAAGCACTGTGAAACAGCCCTGCCCATACTGTCACTCAGGGAAGGACACTGTCAAGGACCTCCTCCTGGAGGGCACGCATGAGGGATATAGACTTGGAACAAGGGACTTCAATCGAGGGGAAGCTCAGGGTGCCATGCAGCACATAGCAAGGGATGTGGCCCAGACTTTCGGGATCAGGGAAGGATTCTCGGAGTGGGCTGAGACCTGAAGGATGAGTAGCAGTTTGTTATATAAAGGTGGGTGGCACTCTAGAAAAACAACGACCTTTGCAAAGCCGCAGAGGCGAGAGGCCTGGTAAGGAACTAAACAGAGGGGAGTGAGTCTGTCTGGAACATCAAGCATAATACAAATGGGAAACGGGACAGGCAGAATCAAAGGCCTAACAGAACAGGAATCTGGACTCGATTCT